TATGCTAACAGGAGAGGGATTTTGTCAGCTTAGCTTCCGTTGTTTGGGAAGGTGGTGTAGGTAAGCCAACAGAAAAAGCCCTTCTGCCAATATACGCTGAGGTCCGACTGGACGCTACAGCACCATGGGTGACAGCTGCGCACAGGAAGTACAGTGGCTGCACTGTTGTGAGCAGTGATGACGGAGTCACCAAAGCAGCTTGCTGCTAATTTTGTGTCTCCTTGTTAGGGTCAGCATCCCAGTCTGCTGCTCCGGTCACCCTACACCACCTTCATTATGTTACTGTGTACACTGTCTTTGCTATGGTCTGCTGAAATAGCTATGCCAATCAGTTACAGAAGAAGAGTTTCCATAATCTAGGCAAACTTATACTGTTGCTGCATTTTAAGTGTTTGATTAAACATTGGGGTGGGGGATGGGGTTCATAGAAAGTAAGATGACCTCATAAATACTGTATTTTAAGCACCACCTGCAATTAATAAAGCAAGTAATAAAAACACAGTTTTTAATGACAGCTTTGATGACAAATGTTGTATAGTCATTTTCTACATAAGTTATGTTTTCAATTTAAAGTACACAGGGAAAAAGTTACAGACTTTCTCCTTAAGGAAACCCTTTTTACACAGCAAAATCAAATATACAAGAAACACCAGTATCTTCTCTAATTCTTACTTAGCCACATACCTGATACATCTTATGAAAACAGGAGCATTATCCCAGCTACATTGTTGGTCCAATAAAAGATATCACCCTAAGAAGCCCTTGTCTCTCACATAATTCCTGGACCATCGTGGCTACAGAATCACTCTTATACTACTGAAAACAGGAATGTCATTCCACCTCTCAGACAGATTTAATGGCAAAGCTAGGGCTGCAGAGAAGTCTGATGTGACAAGCACTTCCTGTGGATCCATCTGTTGTCTTTTGCTTCATATCTAGATTGCAAGGTCTTTGAGCAGGGCCTATCTTTTGTTTTGTGTCCATAACGATCACTTTTATCAAATCTACGACATACATGAATAAATCCAATATTATTGATGATGTAGCATCCGTGACTTTTTTCAGGCAGATTTGTTTCCTTACTATTGCCAGCCTGGTTTACTAGGGTTGTTTTACTAGCATTGAAACGCTATCAATATAAGAAATTCTGCAAAAAACTATGCACATGCTTAGCTTTATACATTTTTCAAAATCCCCTTGAACTTCATGTGTACGTGAAGTTAAACATATGCATATTTATTGAATCAGTCTTAGACTTGTGACTATTGACTATGGTGTATTACTTCTGTACATTAAAAAACAACACTTTCTTTTACTGGGCTCATAGTCTGAAATCTTTCATCAGTACCAAATGATCAAAATAATGCTATATACTTTTTAAAAATGTGATATTTTTTAAAAGGAACATAGTTTTCCTATGCTGTATCTTGATGATGTGAATATTTTGCATCAGTTTGCAGACGTGGTCTTTTTTTTTTTAAGTTCAGCACATTTTAAGTTTCAAACTTGAGTGAATAACGATCTACTCTTTGCTTCTATAAATATATGAGCTCTCTTCACTCTGCCATTGCTTTATCAATTTGACCTCAGCAGACTTACTTTGAAAGGCTAAAATGAACAGAAATTGGTCTTACAGTAAAATGTTATTGAAACAGCGTTCACTGGAACCTGCAAAACCCTAAAAACTCTTTCCTCCCAGTTGTATCTGTTAAAAAAGCAAACAGCATACTGGGTTGTATTAAAAAGAGTGGCACTTGCAGATCGAAGGAATTGATTCATCCACTTTATTCAGCACTAGTGAGGCCTCACCTAGATTACTGTGTCCAGTTTTGGACCCCACGCTTCAAGAAGGATGTGGACAGCTTGAAAAAAGTCCAGCTTGGAGAAATAGAAATGATTAGGGGCCTAGGAGACATGACTTATGAAAAAAGGCTGAAAGAGCTAAGGTGATTTAATCTGGACAAGAGAAGACTGAGGGAGGATTTGATAACAGTCTTCAAACACCAGAAAAGCAACTACAGAGAGGAAGGAGATGGGCTTTTCTCTGCGCCCATAAGGGACAGGACTAGGAGCAATGGCCTCAGTAGGGGAAATTTAGGTTGATTAAAAGAAACTTTCTTGAGGGTGGTCAAACAGTGGAACCAGTTACCTAGAGAAACTGTACAATCTCCATCCTTGGAAGTTTTCAAGAGCAGTTTGGACAGACCCTTGCCTGGGATGGTTTAAAAAGGGATGATCCTGCCTTGATCAGGGGACTGGACTAGATGACCTGGTGAGGTCCCTTCCAGCTCTTTTTTCCTATGACTGCTGATGTAAATTACTGAGTAAAAACAACCCTGCAACAGACAAGCTCTGTATTTCTTGCAGGACATGCCCTTAGGTGAAGTAACTTAGAATACTGCCATACATGCAGTGGAAAGAGAAGCTAACTCTATTCTCCTTACCCTCAAATGGATAGTAATCCACATCTGCACACTCTCCACTAGTGCTTTATTAAGCATCTGTTATTGGGGATCTCTAAGCAAGCTGCAAACATTAATCAGCTAAGTGTCCTCACTGCAAAGTCAGTGTTATTACACAGATGAGAAAATTGAGACTTGGAACCACTGCAGACTACACACAGCAAGTTCGTGGCAAAACAGGGTAAAATAGTTTTCTACTGTGCTCATTCCCTCAACAGCATTTTTATTTGACCTCTGCTTATTTTACACCACTGTTTACCATTTACATGCCAACAGTGAACCTGAGAAAGTTTAATTAATCCTACTTCTGAATAAGAAATCAAGACTGGTGCCTCATCCTGCTAGGTGCTGTTATACTTATAGGCTATATCTACCTTGCAATCAGAGTGATTGCTGCATATGGAGACCAAACCAAGCTCAGTCTATTTAGCTTGAGCACCATAGCAATAAATACATGTTGCCATGGGCTTCCCTGTGGGTTGTGCCAGTCTGCTGGAGACCCTGGGCACTGAAGCAGGCAAGTCAATGGGTTTCCTGAGCTTAGTGGCCCATTAGGTTAGCAAGATAAAGACATGCTCGTTTCTGTAGCCAATGGCACAGAAGGGAATGATGTGGCTACTGGCTAGCATCACATCCAGACAGCTTTGATTTCTCCATCCCTAATGACCAGGTATCCAGTTTTCAATTTACTAGGGGTAGGATTTGGCACAAGTTCAGCATGAGGCTCAGCTCACACCTTTGGATCATAGCAAAATAGCTTAACCACTCTGCTACCACACCACAGTCAGATAGTCCATGCCAAATTTTGGACCTTCATATCTTCATCGCTACCCAAACTAGCTAAATTAAAGCTGTCTCAGGGGTGCCTACATATACTGATGTCACATCTCCTGATTGCTGTTTAGACTTTCCCATAAGAAAAGACTGTCCCTGCCCTACAGAAATTACTATCTAAATAGACAAAACAGACAGGACAAAAGGTGGGAAACAGAAACCACAGAACTGAGAGAAATTATCCAGGGTCTCAATGAAGCAGGGTAAATGTGAGAAATAAATGTTCAGCAGCCAAGGCAAAAAAATCCAGCTTTTAAAGCGTTTGTGACTTCCTGTGTCAGTGAAGGGGCAAGGTGACTGAGGCTAAGTGTTTCAATCTAATCAGGGAAAGGAAGTTCATAAAATAATTGAGCAGGCTTTTTCTCACTCCAGTAATCTCTTGACATGTTTTCACTGCATTATTGTAGGTGCTTTAAAGAAAATCTTTTCACCACCAGCACTTCCTTATTGTCGATTGCTGTTATTAAGTGGCATGCAAACATCTGTCATGCACTTTCTGAAATCAAGTTAACCAGAGCTTTTGTTTACAAAATGTGTCCTTCAAAACAGGGTCCCAGCAGTAATTCGTATTCGCTGCAGTCTTATTAAAAATAACCCTTTTATTTTAAACACAGTACATTTTGTAACAGAAAAGCCAATATACCGTAACCCCCAGTACTGCAGACAACAGCTGTAGGATATAATTTAATGGTGAAAAGCAGAGAATGGTGTTTGGGCAGTTTCATGCCTAGCTAAACTTTCATTTTTCATTTTTAATCATAGTAGTCTGTAAAGCTTCAGGACTTTCCTGTACCTGCTAACCCAAAGCTACACAAAACAGGAGAGCATAATTTTCTGTGTTAAAGGTGATTTGTGCTTTGCTGATACAACAGCAAAGCACAAATCACTTGTTATTCAAACTGTTTATAGGGTACCATCAAAATATATATGAACAATATGCAAGCAAACAACAAGACCTTGCAGGGAAGACCCCCAAAGGCTAAGACATGGATGAAGTAAAACAGCATTTCTGCATCTTGACTGCCTTTTAAGGAGTACTGAGAATGCCTTCAGTCCCCATTAACTTCAGCTGGAGTTGAGGACACTCAGTACATATCAAAACTATGAAGCCATTGATATGTCTAGTGCAATACAATGTAGAGCACGTTTATAGAACTTACCACAGGGTTTGATTTTATCATTTGATGCTCCCCCCCCTCCCAGATTTACAGGAGAAAACTTGGCACCAGACGGGAACTAGCTCATGCACAATGCTATTTCATGTTTTAATACTACGTCTGTCTATCAACAGGGAATTTTTGAACGTCACATATTCAACCCTACAAAGCAGGAGATCATTAGTTCTGTAAAATAGCATGTGATTCATTTTGATTACAAAATAAACTACAAGACATTTATTTAGTGAGTGAAAGTCCTAGGATGCTAGATCATTTTGTACTGCAATCGCTTTTTCTCCACATCCCACTGAGTCTATTTTTCTCAGATAATGAAAGTGTTTTCTTCAAAGGTTTCCAATCCAGATTTCTATGTGGCAAATGCTTTAATTAAGATTGATATATTCCATTTGTTTAGCTTTGAAGCTTGAATTTGGAAGTTTTAACTTAAACTGCATTGCCCTCTAGTGCTGCTATGTGTCAGGGCTCCTGTGATGTCATTAGAACAACCAGTGTAAGCAAAGACAGCCACTCCATGCAGAGCTGCCTAAATGCTTGCAAACCTTCTTGGAGACGCATGTCATAGCAGCTAGGCTGGGGCATCTTTCCAACAGAGCCACAAATGCACAAGGGAGGATAGTAACCTGTCTTTTGTTTCAGAGATCTCATGATCAAAACGGCTGCTCTGAGGCTCAGTCCAAGAGTCTGCTAAATTCTGTTAAAATGAATTGATAGGGAAAATTAACCAAATTTGTACAGCCTATTATTTCTGCCAGGCTTCAGAGGATTTCACGCTGTGTAAGCTCTGCATGCTGGTGACTTATAGTTTACTATGGAGATGAGTTCTCAAACTGAAACTGGACTTCGCCTTGCAGCAAGTTCTTGGGTGGAGAGATAACTTTCACCTAAGCTTAAGCATTTCTGCGTACTGAGCCGGGAATCCAATTACAACTGGCTATGGAGGAAGATTTTTAAGATGAATCCCTACCTTGATGACAAATACAATTCATCAATACCTGGATATTTGGAAGAGTCTGTGCTAAATAATGGGAGTCTCTCTTCAAACAACACAAACCAGACAGCAAGCAATCTGAATTTACCTGCTTTGGATATCACTAGGGCTATAACTGTGGGGCTTGTCCTAGGTGCCTTCATACTCTTTGCTATAGTAGGTAATATCTTGGTAATTCTCTCTGTAGCTTGCAATAGGCATTTAAGAATCCCTACAAATTATTTTATAGTTAATCTTGCAATAGCAGACTTGTTGCTGAGTTTTACTGTCCTTCCATTTTCTGCTACACTAGACATCCTTGGCTATTGGGCTTTCGGGAGGATATTTTGTGACATCTGGGCAGCAGTTGATGTACTGTGCTGTACCGCTTCTATCTTAAGCCTATGCGCAATTTCTATCGATAGATATATAGGGGTGCGTTATTCCCTTCAATATCCAACTTTGGTAACTAGAAGAAAAGCAATTCTGGCCCTCCTAAGTGTCTGGGTCCTCTCCATGATAATCTCTATTGGACCCCTTCTGGGTTGGAAGGAACCAGCACCCAAGGATGATAAAGTGTGCTGCATCACTGAAGAACCTTTCTACGCCTTGTTTTCTTCCTTGGGATCCTTTTACATCCCTTTGATTGTCATCCTGGTGATGTACTGTAGAGTCTACATAGTAGCCAAAAGAACAACTAAAAACTTGGAAGCTGGAGTCATGAAAGAAATGTCTGATTCCAAGGAGCTGACTTTAAGGATTCACTACAAGAACATTCATGAGGACACACTAAATAGCACCAAGTCCAAGAGTCACAATCCCAGGAACTCCATAGCTTTCAAACTTTTTAAATTCTCTAGAGAAAAGAAGGCAGCCAAGACCTTGGGAATTGTAGTTGGCATGTTTATCTTGTGCTGGTTACCTTTCTTCATAGCTCTCCCACTAGGTAAGTTGGGGATTGGGGGGGTGTCTTTTTTATTATAACAGCATCAGGTAAAAATCAGTTGAATACTAACTAAATATTAAGGGATGTGTTAGCTAGACAGACAGATAATCATAATTTCTCCCTGACTTTGTTCTTGCTGAACAATCATATAAAAACTTTCCAAATTGTGCAGCCTGCAAGAAACGGCTTAGATATATTCTGTGATGCCTCATGTATAAAACCTGCATCTAATTTTTCTTAAGAATTTTAAGTTCCATGTATATGTGTGCTTATTAAATAAGCTTTAGAGATAGTTTTGTGTTGTGCTCTACAACAAAAGTTATGTATTAAACCTGCAAGGAATTTTCATATTCAAATGTTATATGATGCTTTTTCTTACTGTCAGCTGTTAAGATCATGGTACAGAGTATTTTGCAACATTTTAATTAAAACTTTTGTATAGAAATGAAGCTGATACAGAAACTCTGGATCAGAATACCTCATAACTTTAAGGTGTTTAAAATTTATATCAGAAGCCACATGCTGTGACATAATTGCATTCCTGCCTTAGGGGGTCTGATCCAAAGCCCACTGAAGTGCTCAGAAATTGCCCCATTGATTTCAATGGCGTTTGGATCAGGCGCTTTAAGAGATTGCACTGGGATCCTTTAGCATCCACTCCTTTCATTTTAAATAATTAAGACAATGCTTACCCAAGCATCCTACCTAATCTTTATGCAAGGGTAATTTCTCTCTCTTTCTTAGACTGCTTTCTGTGCATCCTTTCAGAGAATCTGATGAAATGAACTTTGGTTCACAAAAAGCTTGTACTCTATATATGCTTTGTTTAGTTACTCTATAAAGGTGTGTATCAACCCTGCCTTTAGTCCCCAAAATCCACGTGAAGTTTTTCTCCTTTTCTCCTTAATGTTATGCAACATCTTGCATCATTGTCATGATACAGACTTGCTAAAACTTATTCTTTAGAGTGTCTGTTCAAAGTTAGCCGGTATGGGAGG